GGTGCAGGGCTCAGTGTCCCCTTGTGGTGGCCACAAGCAGCCTCAGCTCTGTCCCAAAGCAGGTGAAGCCACACTGAGGCAGCTCAGGCACCTTTTGGGTTTGCCCATGGGTGAGAAGCCCCAGGCTCAGTCCCTGAGGTCGTGGTCAGGTAACAAACATCATGAATTGTCTGCTCCCCATAAAATAACAAAATTACTCATGGTCTTTCACAGACCTGGTTTTATTCACCACAGGCTGGTTTTCTACTCCTTTTGGCAGCTGTTAGCACTGTGCTTTGGGAAGAAGAGGTAACAAAGCATCACACAGGGATGAAAACATTCAGGTATTTACAAGTGCTTCACCAAGGTCACGTAAATAACAAGCTGGGAAAGGAAAATACCAAGTGAGCAGAAACCAGGGCTGAGTGTTTCAGCATCTTGCCCATGCTTGTGCCACAAATGACATCTGGGAGCAGAAAGTCCCTCCTGTAGCCACAGAGCTGCTCTGTGTAACAGAACATGGTGCAGAGCAGCCCCCTTGGCTGAGCTGGGGGTGCTGCTCCAGCCTCTTCAGAGTGTGGTCAGTAAAAAAATGCTGGGAGATTGCAGGGGAGGTGTGGTGCTGTTCAGTGGCAAGCAAGCCCAGAAAGTCACTCTTTGGGAGTCGGATTTGGAACAGATTTTGGCTCTGAATGCAGCAAAGGTTTGTCCTGGGTCAGCCCAGGAGCAGCTCAGTTGCCTTTTGTGTCATCTCCAGACCCCCACCAGCAAAATCTGAGTGTCAACATGCATATGTGGGGCTGGCTCCTACCCCAAAATCATGGGGGTTTTGATATTTTTAATGGCTTTAAACAGTTGAAATGATTCAGAAATCCATTTGCTGATTATTTAACCCTTTTTAATACAAACCTAGGCATACACATCTGACTTGCCAATGCATTTCCCTACAGGATTGCTTTGGACAGGCCACTGTGGGTGGTCGGTGCCCTGCCCCAGGCTGAAATGTTCTATCCTTGATTTCTGTCAGGACCAAAGTCTTCTCCCTGCTCCCCTTTTCTCCCTAGACTTGTTAATGTTTTCTTTTCCCTGTAATCAAGAAGGTGGATGATGACAGAGGTCGTTTCCTACTGCACAGGTACTGTAGCTGCTCTCAGATTTCTCTAAAAATGGAAACTTAAATAAATAAATAAATCACCAAGCTCTTTTTTTTGGGGGGGGGGGGGGGGGGCAAATTAGAAGCATCCAGGTCCCACTGAAACAGGAGCTGCAGCTCTGTGTGTTTCTCTAGAGGCAGAGGAAATTACAAGACATCAACACAGCGATGATGGGAGAGATCATGGGAGATGATGAGAGACCTCAGCACAGTGAAATGTGGTTGGTTGAGCTGGGGCAGCAGTGGAGGGCTCAGATCCCCATCCCTCTGCTCCCTCTGCCCTGACCCAGCCTGCTGTGCCTGCTGCTTCTCACAGGGTTTGGCTTTGCAGCTCCCTGTCAAGCAACTTGGGCAAATACTTCCAAAGTCAGGCGTCCTTACTCTATTTAAGCAACAAACTTAATCTGATATATTTATATCTGGAAGAGTTTGGAGGTGTGGTGGGTGATTTTTTTTTCCCCTTGGTGTTTTTCCCACAGGGTGTCTCTGTATGACTGCTCCCATTTCTCAGTGGTTGTTATTGTTCAGATGCCATCATCTGACCCTTTATAATCCCTGTATTGGGTTACACTGCATTGCTGGACATGCTTGCTGTATGCTACTGATTGTCAATTTTAGACTCTCCCATCAGCCTAAGAGTTTCTTAAAAGTAATGCAAGGTTGTGTTACATGGGCACATTCCCTGACTCCTTCCAGTGGCACTTGGAAATGCCATGGATTGGTAATAGAGGGGGGATTTATGTGTGGGGGGATTTATAAACCAAAAAAATGAAAGCAAACATTATAGAAATTGCTCTCCAATATTTGGCCACAGCATGTGGCAAGCATCAATTACCTTAAAAATAGAACAGTTTTAGGCACTTGAAACATGGGATTGAAACATGGGCTGCCTCCTGTCAAGTGGTGACACAGCAGTCAGGCCTTGCTGATATTCAGGTGAAGAACTTGTCAACCTTTTGGCTTTCACAAGGGATAGGTTGGAATTTTTGAAGAGAATGTTTAAATGAGAAAAAAATCAATGAGGTGAAGCAATCCTGCAGGAGAGGCTCCTGGTTTCATTCCAGAGTTCACCCACATGTGAGTGCCTGCCTTACAAACAGTGAGCAGTGAGTCTGAATGGTTCCTTACCAAGGGCAGACCTCTTCCTCTGTCAGTGTGCTCTTGAAGTGCTTTTGGTTAATGCTTGTTGGGTACCTGCTTCGTGGGAGTTTTGAGCTGCTCCTACCTGTAGGAGTTGCTCTGTGATTGCTGCACAATCACAAGAGGTTTTCAAACACCTGATAGAGTTCTCAGTACCCCTGTTTTCCTTCTCTGGTCTTCTGCTGGGGCTTTGAGTGCAGCTCTGGCACAGCACAGCTCTTGCCTCTGGTAGCAGTGCAGCAGCTTGGTAGCCCAGGGATTCCTGAACAAGTGTCAAATTGGTGTGGAAATAGCAAGTGTCACCAGTGGAAGTGGCTTTCCTGTCTTAATGAAGGCTGAGAAATGTGTGATTATTTTGGAAAGCTCTGACGGGAGCACCAACAAATGTTTTTGGGAAGAAGATGGGAGTTTGGATTTGGAAAAGTGTTTTAGACCCACTGTGAGCATGTCCTCACCTCCAGGGTGTTGTTTGTTGCTCTAATGTGCTGTTACCAGAACACCAAAACACTAAGCAGTGTGTTAGGAAAGGAAGTACATCCTGGAAAAATAATTTATGGAGGAGAGACCTAAGGTAGGCAAAATATGATACCTACCTTGGAAATCTGTGGGATTAGCACCCAAGTCACCAGGAGAGGTGTCACCAGGCAGCCCCTTGCTCTGCATCTGATGGGGAAGGCATCATTCCCAGTCTAGAGTTTCCTAACGGTGGTAGTGACAAGTGATATATTTCTGTTAAAGAGAAAAAGTGGTTTTCAAACACCTGATAGTGTTCTCAGTACCCCTGTTTTCCTTCTCAAGAGGACTTCATGGGTTTGACCCTGCTTAACTTAGATGATCTGACAAGACCACGGCCCAAGATGGCCTGGCTGAAGATCATGGAAACCCAAGAAGGTGGCATGGGGCTTTATTTACAGGCAAGAAATTAGCAAGTGAGAAGCAAGCACTGAACAGACAGCCTCTGGGGCCCAAACTGCATGGTTTGGGAGAGCAGCATACTGGAGCACTGATTTATTTGAGAACATCAGGAAACCATTTATGGGTTCTATTATGGGCAGCAATCACGGGGGTAAGAGCTGCTGGAGCAGATAGATTGATGTGTGGGTCTGTTGTTGTGCTTGCCACTGCATGATATAAAACAAGGATAAGGACATCCCTGAAATACCAAAGGGGCAAATGGAGACATTGCATTCTTGGCTTCTTTAAATGACAAACATTTATTATCTTTTCCTTTGCCACTTATGCTGTTCCTAAATTTTTGCCCTCTTCCCTGCTGTGTAACAGCATGAATCAAATGAGGACCTTTGGATAATGGACTTTTAATAGAGGTTAACAGGGCTTAGAGCTCCATGTTTCATGTTACAAAACACAGCAAAGAGACACCATCATCATGCAGAGCCTATTTTGCTGCTGGCAGACTCCAGCAGAGCATGGCTGAGACTGTGATGAGAAATATGGTTTAAAAATTGGCAGGGCATGGTTTCAGAGCCTCTCCCCCATGGTTTTGTTCCTATGGAAGCTGCATTTGCAAGGTGAGGATTTGATTTGATACCCCTGCAAAGAAAATTTGAAATTATGAGAGGAAATCTTCCTAATCCAATGAACGGCCCAAACTGTGAGTAGCAAAATTAGCCAGCCTTGCTACTCTACTGTTACAAAGAAACCATGCACATGGTGATGCTGCAGGTTTGCTGTGTGAATTTAGCAGCCTCTAAAATATTCTGAAGAAGGAGGCACTTGGATGAAATGGACACCTTACAAAAAGAGGAGTTTGCGGAGTTACGTCAGGTCTACAAATATAACAAAGAAAATCTTTGTAGTTGCTTATTAATTCTGAAAAAAAAAAAGGTAAAAAGTAGGAGAAGGGTGATCTGGAGATGAACTGTCAGCCAAGAAGAGCTGATGGTGCAAATGATGTTCATGACAGGGCCAGGCCAGTCAAGAAGCAGGCAGTGGCATTGCCCCAGGGTGGGAGCAGGGATGTGCCATGGGAAATGCTTCCCTGGGAGCACTCAGCCTGCCTCAAGGGGCTGGTGCCTGTCCTTGCATGGACCTCTGTCCCCAGGCACAAGGGGCACGCTGTACCAGCTCTACCCTCCTTTTTTCACCTTGGAGGACTTTCCCCAGGCCAGGATGTGAGGTCTGGGAGAAGTCACCAACAGAAGGTGGCTGCACTCATACCAAACCCCCTGTGACAGTCAGCCAGGGCTTAGACCTGGCCGAAGGCAGTGCTGGGCCTGTGGTCTCTGGTCCTTTTGAGACAGATTTGAGATGTTATGGACACAGAGACTTTTCTGATTCTTCCCAGAGGCCAGATTTCACCTGCATATCTCACAGGTGCCACTGATGTGCCTTCATCCCGCTCTGGTGATTCCACCCTGAGCGGTGCAGAGTCCCAGGAATCCTCTGGAACATGTCTGTCTTCTGCCTGCCTCAGTGGGGGACACACCAGCTGCACTGAAATGTCAGAAGGGTTTGCACAGCTGACAGGTTGCTGAAAATGGAGCATCGCCATAAATTCTCTTTATCCAGCCAAGTGCAGCTTAATATAGACTTAGCTGCACGGGCTGTGCCCCACACTGAGCCCAGGAGCTGCCACAGCTCAGGACCAAAACATGAACTGGTCATTTTAACCAGATTAGCTACTGCTAGTGAGGAGGGAAAAAAAGAAAATCCTTTGAAATTTACCTTTCTCTTTAGGTTTAAAAAGTGTTAGAGGAAGGAGGGAAGAATGAACACGTCTGAACTTGGCCAAAACTCCGATGAAGACGTGTGTCCTGAGGACATTGATGAAGATGAAATCCTGGCTAACCTGTCCCCTGAGGAGCTGAAGGAGCTGCAGAGTGAGATGGAAGTCATGGCCCCAGACCCTGAAATCCCAACTGGAATGATACAGAGGGATCAGACAGAGAAACCCCCCACGGGCAGCTTCGACCACAGGTCCCTGGTTGACTACCTGTACTGGCAGAAGGCATCCAGACGCATGCTCGAGGATGAGAGAGTTCCTGTCACCCTCTTGCCCTCTGAGGTAACAAGCAAAAATCACAAATCTTTATTATGCATCAGCAGCGGGATCTGTTTTGTAGCTTTAATACCTTAACCTGCCTCTGCTTCTTATGTAAGGTAGAGTACAAACAAATGTAGATTAATCCTAAAAGCCTCATCAGTGATAGAATCCAGCTTGGACTGATGTCAGGGTTAGTAATTTTTTAATTGCTTTTCCCAAATATTTACTTAAGCTTTTTAATAGAAAAAAATTCCTAATTCTGATTTGAGCGAAGCAAATCACTGAGAAACTGTCACAAGATCAGTTTTGCAGGATGTAACTCTAATTAGTTTGATTTTGCATATGGAAGAACACCATGTTGCTTTTCCATGGAAGATTATATTAATCATACAAATTAAATTATTAATTGACAGAATTTAATGAGATACTGGAGAAAAACCCCAAACCACTGTATTTTAACAAGGTGAAACATTAACAACCAAGCATGCAAACTCTTGAACTAGTTCAACCATACTCAATACAATGCTTAAATTTATTTGACTATCCCCATGACTTTGAACTAAAGTTAAGGTCATACTTAGATATCTTTCAGGATGAGGGCTACACTTAAAAATAGGTTAATAGAATTGAAACTTGGCCAGATGAAACACATCCATACTTGAATGTGAAGTTCACTGGAAGTGAATTTGAGGTAACTGATTTATTTTACTTTTGTTTTAAATATCAGTGATTTGCTAATACACATCAGTGTGGCACATCCCGGACTTCCCAGGGCATGGGCTGCCTTTGGAGACCAGGGGGAATCTGTGGGATTTTTTCTCCTGCACTCTTGTGCTCAAAGAAACAATTTTGTAAACACTTCAGAGGTTAAATCTGAAACCTGGGCGTGGAGCTGGCTGCTGCATTCACAGCTGGTCCATCAATCCCCATCCCAAACCCATTCACCACCACAGCCTCAAGGGCAGAGGTGTCTGGGACCATTTTGTCTGACTTTGGGTGCAGCACAAGCCATGGCACTGTCCTGCCTGAAGAGAGCAAATCTCAGGGAAATAGCTTGATTTTATTAGTGCTTTGTTAGCATTTCTCTGTGATGGAGGAACAGCTTGCAAAAAGATGCTTGACAAAGAAAAATCTAAGCAAGGAGTGTCTCTGGAATTGGTAGATGTTTGCAACTAATTTATTTGAATGGTAGAAGCCTCATTGCCCTGCAACTGCTTTGTGCAGGGGCTGGTTTCTTATCTCTGGACTCCAAACTGAGCTCATATTTTATCTTCAGTGAGGTGCTGCCTTAGGTGTGATGCTCTGGGACTGCCAGAGCAGGTGGCCCTGTTGTCCCTTGTGCTGGATGACTCCACAGTGGTCACAATTGCCCTCTTCACTCCTCCTTGGGCTGAGCAAACCATCAGGGGGTCACCCTCATGTCCAGTGCTTTGTGGCATACAAAGGAAACTTTCTTGTCAAAGAAATTATAAAGATTACACTAAATCCAGAAAGAGACTTTGGATCAGAAACTCTTAACCCCCAGAAGGGTTCAAAGACCATCTTAACATATCATTAAGTATGTTCAGGATTTAATTGTTAGGACTTAATTTAGTAGGCAAAGATGAGAAACTGGTTTGCAGCCTCTTTGGAACAAGTTGTTCCTGTGTTCCCAAGCAAGCTGGTACAGCCTGAATTTACAGCAGTGACACTTTTAAGGATTATTCTCTATTGTAGGGGCAATGAGGAATATAAATCCAGCTGCTACGTGTTTATTTGAGCAGAAAGTTATTGTAGCAAAGATGTCTTGCAACTGTTTCATCTGTGGGGTTTTGTCTTCCTCAGAGAAGTGCTGCAGAGGAGATGGAAGGAGAGGCCGGCAGCAGTGGCGAGGTGGCTGGAGGGAGGATGCCAGGACCAGAGGGAAAAGAGAGACATTACCAAAATGAGCACGTGTCCGAGTCAAGAACACAACCTGGGGACACAAAGACAGATAGAAGTGATAAGGAGAGAGTGGTGGAGGAGGATGAGAAAGAAGAAGCAGAGGAGGAAGAGGAAGAAGAAGATGAAGATGATGACGAGGAAGAAGAAGAAGAAGATGAGACTGAATTGGAAACAAAGAAGAATTGCACCAATGAGAACAGTCACATCAACCAGATAAGTCAGAAGTCAGGTACAGAACAAGGAGAAATCAAAGAAAAGCCTAAGGAAAATGAAAAGAAAATATCAAAATTGAACATCCCCCAGAAGTTAGCGCTGGATACCAGCTTCATGAAGATAAGTGCCAGACCCTCAGGAAATCAAACCAATTTAGAAGACAGTTTGGAGAAAGTCCGAAAAAACAACCCAGACATGAAGGAGCTCAACCTGAACAACATAGAAAACGTCCCCAAGGAAATGCTGATCGATTTTGTCAATGCCATGAAAAAGAACAAGAACATAAAAACGTTCAGCCTGGCCAACGTGGGGGCTGACGACAGCGTGGCGTTCGCGCTGGCCAACATGCTGAGGGAGAACAGGAGCATCACCACCCTGAACATTGACTCCAACTTCATCTCTGGCAAAGGCATCGTGGCCATCATGCGCTGCCTGCAGTACAACGAGACGCTGACGGAGCTCCGCTTCCACAACCAGCGCGGCCTGCTGGGCCACCAGGCGGAGATGGAGATTGCCAGGCTGCTGAAAGCCAACAACACCCTCCTCAAAATGGGCTACCACTTCGAGCTGCCGGGGCCCAGGATGGTGGTGACCAACCTGCTCAGCAGGAACCTGGACAAGCAGAGGCAAAAGAGGCAAGAAGGGCAAAGGCAGCAGCAGATGAAGGAGCAGAAAGAGTTGATAGCGATGTTGGAGAATGGACTTGGGTTGCCTCCTGGGATGTGGGAAATGCTGGGGGTACCGCTGTCCCAGCTGAGGATGCAGGAGCCTCCACAAGCCCCCAAACCCCCTGTCCCTGCAGCTGTGTCACTGAGCAAAAGGCAGGAGAACACGAGGCCACCAGCACCCGAGCAGCCGTGCAGGGAGAAACCCATCAACTTCAAAGTGGTCAAGCTGAAAAAACTTCAGCGCAAACCCCCCGTGCCAGAGTACGTGGAGCCTGCTGAGAAAACCAACCTCAAAGACGTCATCAAAACACTTAAACCAGTTCCCAGGAGAAGACCCCCTCCCCTGGTGGAAATAACCCCGAGAGATCAGCTCCTCAACGACATCCGCCAGAGCAACGTCGCCTATCTCAGGCCGGTAAGTGCAGAGTGCTGCCTCTGAGGGGGAAAATGGCACTCACCTGCTGTGCTCTGAGCCCTGGCTGGAAATGCTGGGCTTTGGCAGGGCTGGCAAATGCACCTGCATGTGGCATTGTCACCCTTTTGTGTCAGGCTGCCACTCCTGGTGTGCGGGTGGTTGTTTTCCAGCAGCACTGAGGTACGGCTTGCACAGGGAACTCACACCAAGGCTGCAGCCTTGTGCATCCCCGGCTGCATCCACAGGGTAAAAGAAAGGAAATTCATTCAGGAGGTGAACAAACCCACAGAAACTTTACCTTTCTATGCTCCTAACAGTGTATTAGTTATGACAGGCCCATGCTATTATAAGACTGTTGTTTCAGGAGTACAACAGGTATTATGTTTTTACATCAGTCCCTCATAAACCCCATGTTTCTCTGTTCAATATCTGTGTTTTTCCTTAGCTCTCACTTTACACAAGAGAGCACTTGGCACACTCTGAAATCCAGCCTGGACTCACACTCTGCAGCCCTGCTCCTGCCTGCCTCACCCAGTAACAAGGAGTGTTTTATTTTAGTGGTCCTTTGCTGCTCATTCTTCTGTCTGTCCTTATGTAGATCAATTGTAAAATTCTAGTGCTAACAGGAAAAAAAGAAATTAGATCCACCAGCAGTGAAGATGGAACAAGGCTGTGGGAAGAAAGTAGTGGTACTGTAGGGGGTTTTATATTTGTTTTCAAGTAAAACTTTGCCACAGAAAATTGGCTTAGTGGTCAACTCAAGTGAGCTCAAGATCATCCTGACTTTAGAATGCCAGTCCAAAACTGAAAACTGCCTCTTGGGTATGGTCTCACTTGGGTACCAAATTCATAGGCTTCTTCTCAAAATGCTGGGCACCAGATTTAACCTCTTGCTCACCTGGCCTGTTATATTCCCTTGCATTGATTCAAGACATCCTAAAACCTGGCTGGTGTATTTGTAGCTTGATGCCTGTTTGTGTTGCCAAGGCTCGAGGAAGAGGACAGAAAATCCCTTGTAGTTAAAAATAGACAAGTAGTATTTTGTAATTATAATTTCTTTTGATATTGACATTTTAATATAGTGGGCCTAATTTTTCTTTCATTTATACCTACAAAGAAATAATTATTTCCTCGGTAATTCCAGACAGAGTAGTTTGTCCTGATATTTTGGCAGGTGCAGGTTCTGCAGTGACCTCAGATTCTGGTCCAGGATTACCCTAAACATTCTGTCCTGTAGGCAAGGTTTGAGGTTCTGAGTTTCTGCTGGCCACTCCAACTTGGCTGCAGCCAAGGCCTCTCCCCAGGGCATTTCTGGCCTTTCTGGGCCAGTCTAGGGTTTGCATTTTAGTTCCACATCCCAGACAACAAGACCTGCTTGTGGACAGCTCACAGATTGTGCTGGTGACAGCAGGTTGGTCCATGGCTGTGGGAGCTGCTGCCTGCCCAGCTCTCAGGAGGCTGGAGGACAATGGAGCTCGTTCTCTGCCAGGCACTGCCCTTGTTTTGGACAGCAATAGTTGGGAAACTTTGGTGCTTCCCTATGCCAGGGGTGATACTGAACCCCAGCCATTCCCCCAAAATGATCTGGAGGATTTTATCCATGAGAGCTGAGGGGTTAAAGATAGACAGATCAATTAATGGTGCATCCTAAACATGCCAGATAACAATTGCTATCCCAGCCCATGGAAAAATGAAACTATGGACACATTCTGGGGGCTTGGGGTGGTTTGTTTTGGTGGATTGTTTGGGGATTTTTTGGGTTGGCTCTTTTTTGGCCTCTGTCATCAGACCACCTGGCTTGGATTTGGGGCATTAGGGTGTTATTCTGCCCATCCTCCATGATCTTGGTAACTCCTTTTTGCCTCAATTCACTCAGCTTCATTTCTGAAATGGAGTTTTGCTGCTTGAGCTGAGTTGGGTGTTTGTTTTCTCCGTGGGACTCAAGGCCTTCAGACTGATTTCCTGGACCTTAAGTATTGCAAACATCCAGTGGGGCATTCCAAACAAAAGAGAGCTCCCAACCAGAGCTCCTTGGAGTTCCCAGCTGTTATATTTTAGTTTCTGGGGGTTTGTATTAGGCTAAACTGGCCTGGTAAATAAGGCTGAGAAATTTCCTCCTCCTAATACTTCACGTCCTTGTCCAGGTGCCGTTGCCAAAGCAGCTGGAGTGAGAGACCAGACTGACCTGAAGAAAACAACTTGGAATAAGGACTACTCAAGTTTTGCTTACAACTGTTTCAGCAGATGTTTTCTGCAGAACCCAGGTGGTGTATTCAACTCTTTGGGAACAAAGCTTGTGATACACACTTGTGTAAGTGTGCTGAAAACGGCTGGCATGGGAAAAGTCAGTGCTAAGTGTTTCCACCAGGTATCAAACAATCCCGCTGCCATCTGTCTGCCAAGTGGATGTGAGGCTTCAGATTGTTGTGGGAGTATTTTCTCAGAGGCATCAATAACCTTGTCTTTCTAGTTTGTCAGCAAACTATTTTGCTTCCACGTTGTCCTTCTGCTGCCAGATTCTGCAGGAACACGCTGTGCTTTATCTTATCTTTCTTTTCACACACATGCTACTTTATTACTCTCTTGTCCATGAGAAATGTATTTGGTTTCTATGTATACAGCTTCATTTTTTAGGCTAAGGAAACAGAAATGAAATAAAGCTCTCTCTGTAAGAGGTGTGCAGCACTTCCATTGCTAACAAAGCACTCACAGAACGACTGCTCTGGTACAACAAACACCTTCCAAGCTCCCTCTGTTTCAGAACAATGTCTAGTGGGTATTTACCTGATCAGCATTTAAAAGATGATGCCATGCTCTGCTTGAGAACTGTGATGTTCATTCCCTGTGATTCACCTGTCTTACTGCAATCCTCAATTGCAGCCACCTTGGAGAGCACTGAAATGCCATTTTAGGTCTCTCTCCACACTGTTTTTGTGGCAGGAGGATGAGCCTCACCACTATTCCAGGGGTTTAAGAAACTCCTAATTCCTCCTAGTATGATGTGTGAACAGTGTGTCACATCCTGGCAGGGCTGCATTTGAAGGGGTAAAACCTGTATATACACAACTCAGTTTTTCCTTAATATTTTTGTGATTTTTTTTTTCTCCTCCCTCTTTATGATCACATTAAGTTCTTCTGCTGCCTTTCTTGTACAGCAGCTACAGGTAAGTCACACTCTTGTGAAATACATCCACAAGAAACCAATTGTTTTAGGGGCTTTTTTCTTTGTTTTTTAAAGCTATAAGACACAGGGAAAGAACAAAGGCTTTCCCTGTGCTAAAATGTACCTTCCTGTGGCTGCTTGGTCCAAAGTCACAGCTTTGTAGCTCCTGGCAGGATTTCCTTCAGGTGAGTTCACCTCTGAGTGCTAACTCTTAGCAGCCTTGCCCTGGCAGCTAAATCCCAGTCCCTACCTGCTCCCCCTTCCCACATTTATTTTAATAGTCCTGTAGTACCAGCAATGTCCAAGACCTCTTGAGTCCAAGGTAGTCTCTACTGTCACTTGTTCAAATTTTCACTTGTTCTTGTCCTTTTGGTACCTATCACCTGGTCTCTTTCCAATCTCCACCTTCCAAACTTGTAAAGCTCTGCTTCTGTTTGCAAAAGTAATGCCCCAAACTTGGGAAAGCTGGTTTCTGTATTGCCCAAGAGAGAGCAAGTAGCTTTAAAGCATCACATAACATGGAAGTAAGATTAAAAAAAAGAAAATAATTTTCATTGCAGCTATTTCTTTTTGTAAAGGAGAAGAGCAGGAAAGGAAGAAGCTTGGTACTTCCAACCAAGCCCTTGCACAGAGCACAGCAGCAAGTGACAAATGCACCAAGTAAGTGCCCAGGAAAGCTGCTGGAGCACACTGCTCTCCAGACTGGCTTCAAGGCCAGGCTGGTGCAGCTCAGACTGCAGCAGCTGGGACAGGGAAGCACAAAGGAATATATAATATAGTGCTTTACAGTCTCCAGTTGAAGCTGCCAGGCACCAATTCCTGCTACACCCAGAAGCTGCCAAACATGAATTTCCAGGGTGGATAGAGCATGACCTGTGAAACACTGCTCTGATCCATGTTCTCCCACCCAGCAGCCTCTCAGTGATCACAGGAGGAGGGAGGCACACACAGACATCACACCATGAGCTTGACTGCAGCAGAGCTGGTGATGCTCAAGGCACAGCTCTCAGTAATCCTAGAGGCAAAAATCCCTCTCAGGTAATTAACAGGAATTGAAATCCCAGTTAAGTAGAGTTGAGTTATGTAAGAGACCAAAGCTGCATGAAGAAATGCCCTAAGTATTCCACCTCCGTAGAGCAGCTGTTTTAAGGATGTAAGAGCAAGGCTGGAATATTTCAGCTCAGAGGTTCCCTGGGCCTCAACAAAGCTGGCACAGAGCAGTCAGAGCCAGCAGCTTCAACCCCAGCATGGGCTTGTGGCACGAGCCACAGGGTGCCAGCAGATCTCCCACCACCCCAACCACAGACACAGGCACAAGGTCGAGTTTCCAACCATTAGAATTTATTTATTTTTCTTCATAACTGTGCAGTTTTTAAAATGCTACTGTAATGATGAAGTCATAGGCTACTATGTTCTTTAGGTGTGGAAACAGTTTTTGAAAACAAAGACCATGCGCTACAAGTGAGGAACAGGCCATCGACTCTTCAGCTGGAATATACAGACATTTTTGATAAATACTGATCACCTTAACACTTAAATGGAATGACATGTTCAGAGTTCTACACAGTTCACTATGAAAACAGCATGGCAAGTTACATAAAAGCTTCAACTTCAAGGATCCTTGCTTTTTTTGTTAAATTAATTACTTGGTTAGAAAAGAGAAATGCAATATTTGAAATGGAGTCTCACCTGGAAAACTTTCCCCCCCTGTTGTTGGTAAGCTCCTGTTATCAAGATGATTCCATCAGAGCTGGCAGTTAAATTGTGTATATATAAAAGAATCCCCCACACTGCTTTCAACATCAGGAGTTTTAACAGGCAAATATCTTCATGAATTTGAATGGGTTTTCAAAAATTTTATCTTGACATTTATTGCTTTTACTTGTAAACCTGAAATCCAGTTTATTCCTTTGAGGAGTGTTGGAAGTACAGAGTCAGCAGATGCATGTTTGACCTGTATCTTTGCATTCTGGGTGAGAAGAAAGAAAAAGATGACCCACTCTCAAGAACACACATACACCTCCATCTACAAACAGCTTGTGCAGACTAAAGCAGGTAAGTCCTAAAGTAGCAGTATTTAAAAACATCCATGGGGTAGAAACCCAGCTCATCCAACCTATATCTTTTTCTCCCATGCTTGGCCAGGGTTTAGCTGGTACACAGGGAAGTCTGGCTCTCCTACAGAGGGGAGCAGCTCTATGGATGAGGATTTTGGAGAGCTTGAAGGTAAATGTTACTGGGACTGGCAGGCAGTGCCATGTATATTCTTCATGCTTACAGCTATTTAGACTTTTTCAGGGCTGCTAAAGGAGGGCTGTGAGGTGAGGACAGGAACCCAGACTGGGTACAAGCACTGCACAGTTTTACCACATGCCAGTTAAGCTGGAAACGTGGTCTCTGTAATACAGAGCACCCAAGGGAGGGATTTGGAGGATGCAAGAGATGCCTGCTTGTGATACATTCCAGCTCATCTGAGCATCACCAGCCTCAAAGGTGCTACCCAGCATGAGCTGGCTAAACTGCAATATTTTAGAACTGAGATGAAAGGGATGTTGCTTTAATAGACCAATTTGCTACAAGACAGTTTGAGAGACTGCATTCCATAGGTTTCTACCTCTTCCTCCTCTACCCCCAGAAGAAGAGACAAGCAAACATGGTTAAGTTAGTATGTATTTGTGTAAACACCAGAACATTTTGCTATACAATAGAAAAAAAGTTGCTGTTTGTATGTTCTTAGAGGAGCCCTGAAGACCTTGGAATACCTGTATCCTGCAACTATTAACCTGTACCACATGCATTTCCTGTTTTGTACATAAACTCAAAGCAAGCTTGAACAATAGTAAATAGCAACTACACTCCTGCAACAGGCAGAAATGCCACGTTGCAGCTGCTTACTCCTTCACTTTAGATATGTAGTCAGCCAGTTTGTTGATACTATCCTCTTGCTGTTCTAGAGCATCCAGAATGAAGCCCATCGGGGTCTTCTTCAAGCCTATCCCCTCCATCTTGTTCTGCAGCTTGTTCTGTATGTTCCTGAGCCTCAGGGAAGCATGGACAAACATCACTGCATGACAAAAACACCCTCATTAATTGCTAATGCCCAAGGAATGCATAGTTCTTGCAGCACTTAAGACACATCCCAGCACCGTGACATCACTGGAAGATGATGATGTATCAATGACTGCTGAAGTAACCACAGGTATCCATTTAATAATAACATTAAAGATGACTTGTGCTGCTTTTTGTCCCCTCCCCCAATTCTGCTTTGGGACCACTTAAACACAGATAGCAAAGTTAACAGCTGACTCAGACTCTGCAGACTTGGTAGAGAAAGCTCAGGTCACACACCTGCACAGCCCCCCAGAGAAGAGAACAAACACTTACAGAGGAGAGGAAGCGTGATCCCAAACATGAACACCATGACATCTCCCAGGTAGGAGATCAGGAAGTAGCTAGACAGCATGATGGCCAGGACAAACGTGGTTGGGTACTGCTTCTTCAGCTTGCGGAGGACGTCCTTGTTGTGTGACATCCACACAAAGCCCAGGAAAACCAGCACCACCACAGTGCCACCAATGAGCATGTTCAGGGGACTCAGAAACCTGGAGAGAAGAGGAACAACAAGCAAAGAGTTCAGGCTCAGAACCTTCATGACTTGTGTGTCCATAGAGGATCACTCTGCTCAGTGGTATAGTTACCAGGGAGCTAAGGCATTGAAAAGGAAGTTGCTGTTGTGAAGATCTTCACCAAGGCCTTTAGCAGGAGCCAAATCAAGTAAAAAGTACAACTGAAGAAGAAACCCTTAGTGTTAAATTTGGATAATCTTTGTCTTTATGTTCTCTTCCTGAGCTTAGCTCAGGATGATGAGTTTCTGCAGCATTTCACCACAGAAGCACTGCCCACCAGGACCCCTCCTACCTCTGCAATCAACTCATTTGATATCACACCCAGAGTCAGCATATCCAGATAGCAGATGGAGACAACACTGACTGATCTTTTCCCTTCACA